CGTCGTCCATATTTATATTCATAACGTAACTTCGAGGGAGAGGCCACGAGCGATGCACTACGGCCTCACATACAAATCAGGAGAAATAGCATCCAACATTTACAGGGGTAACAAGCACACTGTCCTTCTCAGTAACATTTGTGTCCTTAGTCATATTTCAATATCGCGTCAACAAAAATAATCTATATTGAAAGTAATAAGTACGCCTAAAACATAAGTTCTGTCCTATTTAACTGCGATTTGTTATAATCGATGAAGTTTGTTATTCAAATAACGTCGACAATTGCGAAAGTCATACGATGATAAGCTGTTCTTACATATATACCACAATGGGAGAATTAGCAGACAACGCTATTCATTTGGTTGCCTTTGGTGGATACATCTATCGCCAGCCCCCAAAGCACAAACCTGATACCGGACGAGTGTTATCTATGGAAGAAGCCAAACACTTTGATGTTTATAAAGGCTTCAAGGGGGCTTTTTCCATGTTTGACCCTTGGCTGTTTGGCCAAGGGTCAAACACGGAAAAAAGTTATCGACCAACCAGATCGTTGCTAAAATTCGGGATATTGAACACGAAATCAAACGTGCTGCCTGTTCAGCACTTCAGATATAGACTACCTCAGTCTATTGTCCGTAGTCCCGGCTCTGACCTAACCCGTCTGATAAATAGACGCGTCACTTCACTCGCTCCAGTCGCCTGGATCGAACTAATCTTAATCAGAAACGTCAGATGTATTACAAAAGGAAAAAAAATTATAGTACACTTTTATAGATAAAAATATTATATCCCTTAAGAAGCGACTCTTATACAGCGTTCCGAAGAAGATTTATCATCATGGATCTACTATCGATGCGTTACACATACTCGCATTGTCAAAAATGAGCGCCTGACACCAGTAAGACCCTATAGCATTTACCTGTTGGTTGCATCCTTACGACGTTCCAACTTTGTATTTGTTAAGCCTGTACAGCGTAACCTTAATCTATACTACCGAAACGATATGACTCTTGGCTGGAGTAGATCAATTTTTTTTAGGCATTTAACTATACATGTCTACCGTTAAGTAAATAGGTGAAGAAAGATTACACTGTATTTCGGTTCAAAGGACTTTGAAACATCTCAGTTTGCCACAAGTTCTTTTACTAAATTCAGCAATTTATCACGAGATTTATCTAAACTTAATAGATTCTAGAAATATATTCGACAAGCCTATACTGCTATTACAATTGGCCACAACAGGCCAATGTTGCGTATTTAGCGAACACGTAGTCCGGAAGCCACGGAAAGATCATGTTATGCCTTCGGTCGAAAGCAGCTCTCAGAGAGACGCTCAGTACGACGATAACTTACGTTGCTCTCTGTCGTTCAGGTCATTTCATCGAGGCGAATCTATTGAGAAGGACCTGTCGATTGTTTGGGATCTATACCACCACATTTGAAAAGGTACACGTACGTGTAGAAATCAATTCCGTGAAAGGGTATTCGAGCGTAGTACGTAGATATTAGATTCATAATTACCGTGATTCGTGAATTACGTGATGTACTTGTATTTGCGTGCCATTCGACTAGTGTGACTGAGTCACTTACGTACGTTTCGTGTATATCTTCGATGATATCGTCATCACGATCCAACTATTCGCTATCGGATCTTGATAACAATAACTAGGGCCATTGTATCCGCTGAAATCTATGTTGTTGTTGTAGTTGTGTGACATGACGGTTGTTACGAACGCTTGAACAACAATATTGTACTCAAGACAGGACAATCATAATGAGCAATAGGGCAAAACAAAAGTTAGCACTAACAATGTGTAACCGTGATGATCGTTGCGTCAAGAACGTGAAAACACGCGTAGATGCCGCTCCCCTCATTACAGTTATTCCTATAATTAGATGCCCTTTCAGGGGAACAGCGGCTTTCGGATGATCTAGAATAGTACACCGTAACGTAGCGATTATAGCAAATCATGTTTAAAACGTTGCCGAACAACCAGCAGGACCTTGTCATGCAGAAAGACGTAAACAAGTACGACCAAACAAACCAATAGCTAAATAGCCGCAATAAAATACACGAATAGACACAAAATGGCTTAATAATAATACGTCATTTTATACGCCATCATAGCAATACGTACGTTTGGTAGTAAGGACAGTACCATTAATGTTTCTCGTTAACATGGGCCCAGTGACATAATGATAAAGACAACGAACAGGTCTTGCTGGGAGAAACCAGACCCTACAAGCTAAATTTAAAATAGTTTCTCATCTTTCCACGCTTGTGTTCTTTATTCGTGAGCGGCCATGCTAACGTCAATTGCTTCCGTGTTTCAAGCACTGGCTGCGCGAGTGCTGCCTCGCCGTCATTGTACATAGCGATGGAACGCCAGATCAGAAGACGCGTGCACTCTCTCACATGGTGTACATATAGGTTAATGCTTTTTCAGTAGGACAAATGTAGCCATGTAGTGTAGCCTAACACGCATGGCAGGACACAAGGATAGACACATATAGCATAGGTTCGATCTGGTTAGCAAACAGATCCGGACGGCAAAAAGAAGAAACGATGCTTTCCTAGAAAGGGCAGGCTGTATTTAGATTCACAATGTTACACAGTGAAAATGGAACCGCTGGAACATAAGTGACAAAGTTAACGGACTGACTGGACAGTACGCTTGGTTCGCCTTCAACTAGAACAATAACGACCGAAACAATAACAGCTTTGCTAGGGTCAAATAGAGGCAAGCATTTGGATCAAAATGGCCTAACATCCCGCTTCAGACTAGCAGCTTTGGATTCGCCTTTACTATCCAAGGATTTGATTGTAATCGATTTAGCCAACGATACCAAGTAGAATTACTAAAAAAAAAAAGAAACTCCTTGATCGTCTATTCTTATGATGTTCCACTAACCTAGTCCAATAAAATCAAGCGTTGCATATTTTTGATACATAACAAACGATCTTTATTAACAAGTTGTCAACCGGGAAATGGACAGCCAGAGATTCTTCAAAAGCTTTTCTGTAGCAACGTGTTTTTTTTGTTTATGTCACAATCAGGGATTAGGAGAGAATAGCTGTTTGGTAACAGACAGTACGAAACATGAGCGACATCGGTCGGCTTTAATTTATGAGCTCCGGAGCCCGTTCACTGATTCAGATTCATTCGTTTTATGCATTTTATTCGTGCTAAAAAGGGCTCCATTCAACGCTACTGTTACAGATTTAACCAATGGAAAAGGTTCAGCTGGTTTTATCAAGGGAGATCTCCTTGTGTGGTTGTACGTCGCTTGACAACGGATTACTGATCAATTAGATATTCATGCCTCGTTTATGGTTTACATTCATTACGTGCTTAAATTTACTAGAATTTGCTAAGATGTAATTAATTTCTATCAGCTTAATCTATTCTTCTGACAGATTCTTTCAATTAGATCATCATCTGGAATACGCCAGACTGGTAAAAACGTGCGTATTTCAGCATCAGCATGCTAAGTTTGCTTGCATAGGCGACACCTTGACAGAATACATGGCCGACGAATGTCTCATCGACTGTCCCGTTTCATGAATTTTCATGAAATTGTTTCAATTGTGTCAGGAAACCGATGGTCTATTTCAACCTCAGATAATAATGCTAATTATAGGAAATGCATCTGTACTCGTTTTTGAAACGGACTGTTTGTTTCAACAATCACAGCTATAAACGTACGCTTCAACATCCGATGCGGAGCGTCGAGATTTCTGATTGACTGATATAGTATTGCAACAAATAACAATAGTAAACGACGCGCTTGTTTCAGTCACTGACCGTACTTTGGTTGACTCTCTCCTAAAGCCAAATTCTGATTGCAAACCCGTTCTCGTTCTTCAACCTTCCTGTAGTATGTATTTCACGTTAACGGCCAAATGCTATCATAAAGATGCAGCTGTGCTGCCGTCGACACGTGATGCCTTTGACGTTATTTTTCTACTCCCAAGCAAAACGAAATTTCACTTCCATAGTTCCATGTATATGTAAGACCGCTAGGAAATCTAGTACACAATGTGAAGCATCGATATCTATCGTGAATTCGTACCGGTTTTTTTAGAGAAGACACCAGATTAGGCTTCATGGCAAAGGACGAATCCAAATTGATTCAAAGAAACATTTCTGTGCCGACTGAGTGCGACACTAAAAAGTAACTGTTACTTTGCTTGATTCTACAAGTCTCCAGTTGTAGGAAACCTAGCGAAATGGGTCTCTTTTTTCGTTTACGTTAGGGTTCTTCATGCCGTCATCGCGCTAATGCTTTCTCGCTGGGCTAAACCTACAGACAAAGAATAAAAAAAAATTCTCTTGGCATTGTCTGAGTATATACAGCTATATACAAAGCATGTGAATGAAGACAGTTATTTTTATTATATCTACAAACTTTTGATTGAGAGTACATGATTAAACAAGGCAAGCTGTCTGGCTTCCTAGCGTGGCGTTTCTATTATACTGGCGACAGCCTATGGTCAACAATTGCAGGGATCTTCGGCTACGTAAATAGCAAAATTTGATCAAAGAGTATCTACCCAGCTAAATCTCGTAGAGGTACTAAGGTGAGGGCCGCTTTAACCACTAACTATTAGGCCTTTGAGTCTGGTCAGTCGAAGCAGACCGGCCAGTAGCTTCCCACTTTACTCTAGATGGGGTAGCGAGGGGGTAACGATACGCTCACGTATTTTTCAACCCTTCGGAAACCGCCTAGCAGAGTTCGAGAGTATAACAAGTATATGTTAATACTATAGGTAATCATGGACGGATAATACACATACAGAAAAATCACAAATAGAGACCCAAATTATCTCGAACAAATTTCAGTTTACAGCTAACCCTTCAAATACGTCTATTAACAAAAACGACTAGGTAACTATCCCGGTAATACCAGATACACGAGAAAAAATTTTGAAAGATCACCTTGGTTCAGGCATCGTCATTTATTTCTATCTATCCATCGATTTGCAATTTTTGTTTTTTTGCAATTGCGGTTTCTAAAAAATATCCCTGTTAGTGTTGGAAGGTAGAGTCCTTTCGAGAACCGTTTAACGTAGCTGTTCGGATCTCTGTGTCTTTTTATGTCCGTCGATAATGACGGCAGACATGTTCATTTTGATCAGAGCACGTCATGTAGTACCACGAAAAGTCATACAGAAGGCCCACTCGAAGGAGGAAGTTGAACTCGTTGAGCCTACGAAGGCCCAGCAGACGTATACGAAAATAGACAGAATCGAGTGAGGACGTTGACAGCCATTTCATACGCTGTAATGAAATAATCAAACAATAGGGAGTGACAACGTTAGCTCCTGAATATTCCTAATTCATTTAACAAAGTTCACAATAACGAGAAAGTACACATTAGATAGCTCTTACGTAAAATGCACACGGTCGTTCTTTCTGTCTAGCGAGAGTCTAACCGTATGCAGCTATATGTTCAAAGATCTAACAAAAGATACACTAGAACCGCTTTATGCATTGCATAGCATTAATGGGTCGAGGGCAACCTGTAGAATTCGTAACATTCAATATATGTGCCTGTGCACTTTTTGCCTTCTCTTAAGCGTTCAATAGGATACGTAAAGGCCACTGTTACGACGACCAGCATCATTTGAAAGTTCAAGCGCGGAGCTAATACGCAGTCGCCTCAACTCGAACGTAAGATGGATACGGAGTCGCTGTATTCAAATTCAAAAACCCCGCGTTGGGTCGGCGAGCTGTATACAGGCACACTGTAAAAGGTCTGATGTTGTTGTATTCCCTCGCTAGTGATCATGTCGGATATTGTTTGTTGTCTCTGCTAGTTCAATCTAAAGATTCGAGTTAGTTTTGAGCGCTTACTCTCCCGATGTGTACGAGCACATCTGCATAATATGAAGTCGTGGCCACGAGACGTAGAGCCCCTCTGGACAGTTCCAAGGCCGGATAGGCGTTGCATCGGGGAGCCGAACATCTTTGAGCATCACGCTACTACAGAGGCCGTAAGAAGAATTGTTGCTCTCATACTACATAATGATACTTCTCGACTTAAAAGGAATAACAATTAGCTGTTGACGGTCTCACTAAGCGTTGCGCGACGCAGAGAATACCAACGAACACTTTGCAGTCTTCCTTGCGACTATCTAGGCTTTTCTATTAAGTGCATAAACACGGTAGAGTACAACTTGGTAATTTTCTATGTTTACATCGGTCGAATACAACGCTTTTGATGGTGCTTACTCTTTTCATAATGGTACCTGTGTACTTTTCACCATCCTTACCGCAATGGTTCGTCCCTTTTAGCCGGCCGCAACACATAGCTGAGAGAACCACAAATATATAGAGTCGTCCAGCTATGAATTCCTATCTCAGCATCAACAGAAAAAAAACCGATACAAACACGATATTTTAAATCCCGAGTGATTTCAGCAAGGACCATTAAGCCATAGTCAACCGCGGCAGCAACCTTAGTTGCCTGTTAGTTGTGGCCCTGCTGCAAATAATCACCGTGGCTACTATTTAAACTATGGTTTTTTCGTCCTGTACAGTCTTTAATGTCCCCTTCGCTTAGCAATCAAATACGGAAGGCCCAAAATCCAACGTGAGGCTTTTGTGATAATAACAGTTACGGTGCACAGTTCTAGCTGCATCCGGACCAGAGCGTCTTCATTTACAACAGGTGGGTGTAGCAGCAGCAGCAGCAATGCTCAAGACATAAATACAACCGACACTCATACCGGTAATGGCAGTGGAAGTGTATTGATTTTAGCATTGTCTGTTTTTGTCTCTTGCAGACATTTCGCAAGCGAGAGAAACGCCAGCAGCAAAACTAACAGCGGCGACGGTTGCCCTAATGGCAACGACCCATCTGCAGGCGGCTTTCAAGGAACATATGAGGAACTAACATTGTTGGATAGTGAGGTGAGCTGCGTCGCTCCACTTACCGTCCAGCTCCACGTATCCTGTTCTATTGGAAAATTCTTTGTCTGCTCCTGCCATCAGCGTCTTTTGGTAGACGATATCGGCTACTTGAAGAAGTGCTGAATTTGTGACAGGTGGGCATTCTGGTTGTCCTCCTGTGGTACCGTTGCTTCTGACGGGTGGCAACAACCTCAAGAAAGCCGAATGAAAACGTTGTTCAGCCTGAAAAGCAGAACTTTGACGCTACGGCGAATAGATTGCAAGCAGGACGTCTCGCTTTGTGAAGGCTAAGAATTCCCTGAGAAGGCATAAGATTCGTGTGAGGGTTAGTCATATAGCACCGTTCAAATCTCATTGCTAGCACTTTTCAGATTAGATATAAAGTAGCACTCCCACGTTTGCCTTAAAAACAAACGAACACATAAGTAGACGAGCCAATTCCAGTTTATAACGACTGGAAGAACTTATTGGAACTTCGATAAAAGCGAGCGAAGTATCGCGCAGTTCACAAATCGAGGTGACGTGACATCACCTGTGTCTTGATATTTATCACGTTCGATACCTTAATCCACGCAGATTTCCAATCATTAAGCCAGTCACGCTGCGCTAGATGTCGTCCTATTAAATAAATCGGGTGCCTAATCGACTATAGGTGACACAGGCGATCTCACTCGCAAACACGTATTTGAATATTCTTTGAATCGGGCCAATGGCACGAGGAGTGGCTGATTCGAAAACCCGATGGGCTTAACCCAGTACGAACTAGCCAATTATTCGCTGACAGTGTGTGGCTCATCTGCGAGCCGCTAAATCCAGTGCAGACATAGCCTGGATTAGCTGGTTGACTTCGTATTTCGATTAGGGTGCCCCTATGGGCAAAGGTGCAGCTTTCATGTTTATAGATTGGCTAAATTTAAGATAATTTGTCGAGAGCTATCATAAGTAGCAGGCCGACTAATCGATCAATGTGCAATCCGGCGCTTACGTCGAATGTAGTTTGGTGTGCATAGGGATATTATTGGAGTGGTAGACTGGTCGATATCATTTTCTACCATAAAATATCATTTGAAGCCTTTGCTATTAATCTAAAATCATTGGATCTTCCTTTCTATGCGTAAGCTCAAAGCGCCTTGAAGAATTTCATGGTCTTATTTTCTAGACTTTTCACAGTCTACGCGTAATTTCTATAGTCAAACGTACTAATACTTCACGTGGCTTCTCCATAAAAAAATGTAGCTGCGATGAAGCTAAGATAAGCAAAAGGCTAGACATAATTTATTACCACAAACAATGTGTGCGTACGATAACTGTGTCCCAACTGCCACCAACAAAAAGGGCAATTTACTCCGAGGGTCATTGTTATTATATATATTTTAATTAGGGATCGTATGGGTGCGTCTCTTATGGACAGACACGAGATTGCCCCAAGAAATACGGCGTTTGTTGGTGAATAAAAAAACAGACTGCGTATTCACAGACCTAGTACCCAATTTTCCCCTGAGGGAACAATTCTTTATCTATATATATATATACATTCTAAGCTATAGTCGTATGCCTAGTCTGGTTGAGGTGGCGGCACTTCTGTAAAAGGCTGAAGAGCAATCTTGCTCATTCATTAATATTACAAACTTGAGATATTACATCAGATTGTCGGAAGGAAACTGTTGTCAATGCTGCACCATAGTGCCTTGATGCAGGTTATTGTGAAAACGATGCTTAGTAGCAGCGCATGTTTGCTACGGAAGATTATGGGAAGAGGCACAATATATTTATATAATAGCTATAATTATCTATTTTTTTCTTTTTGCAGGACAGATAGCCAAGATAACATACGGTTACAAGCTGTATCGTGTTCAATATGCACCCTTGGACCTTTATTGTTACATGATGCTATTTAAAATTAGTAGGTAGCATTGAACAGTGTTATTACAAAAATTATATACAGTCGTTTATACCGTGTTGTTCCATTACTGCCAACATGCGTTCTACGTACCTAATAGCTAGCAGCATTAAAAATCTACTTTTTTAGGTGTTGATATTTCGGCAAAAGTCATTTAGAAGATAAATTTATCTAGGCTCTAAACCGTTATATTCGGTTTATTATGCTGATTTCAATAAGACATGAAACTGGGTTTCCTGTACTCGTACCATTGGTCTCTACGTTACTGCAATTACGATACAATTAATTAAAAAATGTCAACTATAAGTTCATTTATAGAGTCCAAAGCTCTGACTACATTAGAACTTCGCAACGCAGTATTCACAGTGGGCTGCTTCCCAGCAACGGTTAAATACGATTGCAAATCAGATAGAAGGGGCCATACCTTTATCGGGTGCTTGCAAAATATAGCACAACCAAGCATAACACGCTTCCATTGAGCAAAAAGCTTAAAGTACCACATCAATACGTGCTTCGTGGCGACGCAACATCCACTCAGAAAAAGAATGGGCGAATAGAGAGCCAATGATTCTGCGGTGGCTATAATCAGTAATATTTATTTAGAAGAGGTGTGGACGCTGATGAAAGTACCGCTCGCATTTCAATTGCTAACTCCCGGTCCCTTGGCAGTCCGCATAGGCGTCAGCCTGCTGCTAGCAGCCGCGCTGCAGCTCGTGTTCCGCCCCAGTCCAAGGCGAAGGCATAGAAATCCTATTCGCTTCTGCCCAGAACACAGGAAGGATATGGTTTAGGCGTAGACGGTTTGTAGTAGCAGGATATGTAAGTGCGTAGGCAGAGAAGTAGACAGGGAGTGTTTCAAATCGCGAATTTACGACAGCGCCAACATCACACCACCGCTGACTCGCACGGCCGCCCCTCTGCTTCTCGTTCACAGAACAGCACATAGAACTGCATATGTGTGCCAATGTCGTCAAGTCTGCTGTTAGCAACGGCCTGCTGCTAGCTGGCAAATAGCAGTGCTACGAGGGCTGGCTAACAGAGTCAACAAAGAACAGCTAGATAGCCAGCCAGGCATTAGGAGGAAGCAACCTCGGCGAGACCTAGTCGAGGTTACGGATCCACCATTCGAGAGGAATGAGTGCTGCCGACATCGTCGTCGTGATCGAGCCGACTGCTATGCGACGCTCAGCTCGCGCATAGCCCAGCTCTAACACTGACAGATGTCTGCCCAGGCACATACGTGGCAGTGGAGATAGAAAGAAAAAGAAAATATGAAATCGTCAGACCAATTCTAAATAAATAGCTGAAAAATACGCCAGCCACTAGAAACAGTACAGGCAGGCGGCTCAGTAGCGTAGCACCCCCGGGGTTAATTAAACAAACGTAGGAAACTTGGCCAGTACAATGCAAACGTTGAATTTTTGTGACGTTCGCCCTTAGCTTCAGTGTTGGCAGATTTAGTGATACGCATGATGCGTTCGTTGGGTGCCTGAATATCTCAAAACTGATCCGAGTGAGAGCCCTACCATTCTCCGTGGGATTGTGGGCCTTCGGGCAGTTGAACGCTTGAATTGTGGCAGCACTACTACTCATACCTGCTGTTGTACCCCCTCTAAACCCCTTCTGCTCAACCCGAAGTCTGCCCGCATCGTCCCCAGGGACCGTTACAGGCTAACAGCCTGACACACTGGTTGGTACGGTGTAGAGGAACGTTGAAGGCATCGCTGAGTGTAGGCTGAGGGCTCAGGGGACAAGCTCAGCGTGTCTGTGTTAGGATTTCTGATAAGGCTTGAGCAAAGAAAAGAGAACGCTTCAAGGAAGCCACTCTAGCTGTATAACGCGCAAGGTAGTGTGTGACAGTGAAAAGCAAGTTGGGAAACGTCATCTCGACGAACCTCTCCAACAACTCGAACCTATTCACTCAGGGCGATCGTAGCATAAGATCCCATAGTGCAAGTTGAAGTCCGATAAAAGAAGTGATGCAGCCCTTACATTTTTTAGGGTGTTTTTGCCACAATGCACTGGCAATAGGTACCTCGAAAACGGCAAACGACTGATGAACGCATTAACACTTACTACTACTATCAGGAGCAAGATAAAAAACAAAAAGTAATAATTATAATCTGATAACACGTGCTTCTTTTTAATCGGTTCTGCTTTGCTGCAGTAGTAAACACAGAGCAACAATATCAGTCATACTATAGATGCGCCAGTTGTACGTACAGCTACTTTTTTATCAAGTGAAAGCCATACATAACATTATCACTATAGGCATATGGTATGTAACGTCGCGTGTCAGACAACGTTCAAAAATCGAATTAGACAATGAACTGGTTAAACTGACAATAATGCAAGCCGATGTTTTTTTTTCGTCCTGTTCAATGATTGGCGCATCTCAGTGTCTTTTCTCATCCATAAATGCGCGCGTAATTACCGCATTAGCATTGTGGGTATCAGATCTGCAGCGAACGTTTGAAGCTAGAACGAGGCAAGGGAACGATCACTGTGGCTGCGGGTGTGTAGGTGGTAACAGTGGTTCCATTGACAAAACTTAAAGATTGAAGCGTGCAACTTTACATAGGACAGGCGCATATCGCTGGACTGCAGCTGCTATATCATTTGGTCGCTAGAGGCAGCTGTAGATATAAGAAAAGTTGTCGCTGCCATTGGCAACTTGTAATGACTTTTCGATTGGGACCACCACACAAGCAGGACCAGGGGCCTAAGAACTAGTCACCGTTCTTGGGGAAAAGTTGAAGAGGCTCACAAGGTGGATCTCTACCGGCTGTCCTATTTAGAGGTGTTCCTGCCCGGAGCCAGCTCATGTAAGTGGCTTGAGGGACACACGAATGACTACAAGTCGAATCACTGAAGAAAACGCCAGAGAAGGAAATAAAATGAAGTGATTTTTGGATTCGAAATCCAATGCAACCCACTGGTGGGACAAGATTGTGCGAAAGAGATCGAGAGCACGAAACAGCGCTGCGGGAGGGACAGTTGAACGCCGACCCACATAGAGCAGAGAACCTGAAGTGTATCTAAACGAGGAACGAAAGTGGGAGCGGATTGAGTCAATCCCTGATAGATCCGCCCGTTACTGATAGAACAACTCCGCCGTTTTTGGACACAGCCGCACTGCGTTCGCTAGAGGAGTTTGGGTCCTCGGTGGTACCTCGGCTGCCACTACCGGTGTCTGGACCGTCGTTTATAAGAAGGGGGCGGTGGTCCACCATACCCAGCCACTTCTTTTAAGGCATCAGTGAGTAGAGGGTTTTCGTCGAAGTGAAGAAATGACTAGAGACGTGAGAGGCGGTACAAGCCGTTTGGTGGGTCCCTAACGCTCTAAGAGTGCTGCTAGATTGGTGACAAGCTCCCTGCTGCTGCGGGGCCGAGACAGAGAAAAAGAATTCCTTCGCTCGTTTTCGAACGGATTCCCGCAGAGTTCATCTTCCCTGAAAACTATCTGGGCCTAGGGGGAAGACCCAGAAGCATTTGTGCTATGTGTGCCGGTTTGAATGAAGGGGTGTGGAGGTTTGCGAGAGCTGCCCGACTTTTCCTTCCCATTTCTCTAATTATCTCTCTCTCTCTCTCTCGCTCTCTCTTTTCCATTTTACCTCTTTCGAATCGCCACAGCTTCCCTCTGTACTCTGCTCTCCTAACAGCGAGCTAGCTGCAGCAAACAGCGTTCAGAGGTCGGGAGATCGGTACTTGCGTCAGATTTGACATACGTCTGGTGCAAATTTCAAAGTTGCGCGGGGAACGGTGCCGGATGATGATGGAGCGTACGTGCATGAGCGAAGGAAAGGCAGAGCGAGAAAAGGATTCTACACCTGATGATTTCAAGTCGTGATTGTTCTCTCGTTTCTTCCTTGTTGCTCGCTCCATTCGCTAAACAGCCAAACAGGCAGCCAAGTAATCGGGCTCCCTCAAGCTAGGAGGCGGACCAAACCGCTAAGCATCACAAATTCAAAGCAAACTTTTCTTGTCATATGTAGCCTGTGGCTACACGGACCGGTGGCTGGTCAAGTGACAGCCTAGCGGATGAAAGAGTCATCTGCCGTCAACCAAGTTCCAGACAGATACGGCGGGATATACACGGCAAGAAACGATCCCATTTCAAAAATCACCAAGCAACGATCAGCAATTGTCCTATATTGTCATGTATATGCTCTGTCTATCAAAAGGGATAGTGGTTGTTGGTAAAAGAATAAAAGACCACTTTGTTTAGCAATTTTGGAGGCATTCAAATGTACCTAGAAACATTACAGAATATTAAAGAATCTATGGATCAGCTTTAGATAGTTGATAGATGTTGCTGGTTTGTGGGGCAACTTTAGGTCACACATATATATATATACAATATTTTTCAAAGTAATTTCGAACTGCCCTTTGGATTGTTTAGGATCAATTATTTTTTCGCCGAGTGTGACGTGCTATTGCATTGTTTAAGCGGCGGTTTGTACTAGAACGTTACACTCAATTCCAGTTTAGCAGCTCTCATAGCAATATACGCCAACTTCAATAAAAGGGTGCAATAAGCCTCATGTGGCATACAGTCCCGATGTCTAGCGTCATCTTCGTGAAAATACTTCGATTAGTAAATAGGCCTGTATATGTTAGGACTCAAATAACGGTCAATAGGTATCCGCGACCCTTTTGATTTGCACATCTCCATCATTGATCGATCTGAGAATCAACATGAAAATCGGTCTTTAGTTTTTGCCTCCAGCTGCGACTCCTAAGGTTTTTGCCTCTTGCTCAGCGTGCCGATGCGTTGGCGACAGGACCGCGTCGATGATCGTTGTGTGAACAACAGCAACGTGAAGGATCCATTGGCACGTGAAATTCTACGCGCGGTAGCCACATTTGCTCGGGGCGATTCGACGTGGTCTTCGTGCCGAAAGACTGCAACTGCATACTCTTTCATCTTCTGGCTCCCTCGCCTCTTTCTACACCTCTGCTGACGGTTCTCTTTGTTGTTTTCCCTATGCAGTTTTTTTCTTTATTTGCGTCGTGTTCGCTATAGGGTTGGTTGAATGATCCATCATTTTTCTCCAAAGCGATTGCCGGCAATGCTGTGGCTATCACTGTCGCCGTCGAAAGCTTGGCTAAGTTGAACAAAATATCATTCCGAAGGCATCGTCGAAAATGAGCATTTTCGGCAACACTCTCAGTGCAACAGTGTCAGAAGCCGATAGAATGAATATCGCAGAAAACAAGCGATATATATACGGTATGTAAAATAGGCATATAACTCTTTATTTTAAAATACAATAGCCAGTAGTAGCCTTTATGGTAGAGGTAGAATGTACTGCTGCTGCTGGTTGTTACGGAGCTAGCTTAAAAATCGAACATTGATATTGTCAGTGAGATTACTGAGAAACGTAGCAGATATGAGGTGTCTAGCAAATGTAGAGATTACGTGAAGCGATACGCTGCTAAAACACTATTACAATCTGCCTTCGCATGCTCGTTTCGAAGAAAGTCAAATGTTCGAAGTTCTACGTTTGA